GGGGCCACTTATTTTGGTTATCTAAGCAATAATAAGGCCAATCTTGTGTGTGTAAAATTTGGTGAGGAGTTTGGGTTTAATGTCAGGCTTGAGAGATAGGGTGGTAAGGTTGTTTAAGAGACATTGTAAGGGTGCATCACCCCAGAGGGAGGAGGCGGAAGCTCCCATTCTGAAGAGGATTAGAGAGAGAGAGAAGTTTTAAAAGGAGGAGGATTAGTATAAGCCCTCCGGCCGGATGAGAGGGATGGAGCTCAGAGGGCATCCCCAATGAGTCATGCCATTCTCAGGAGATGGGTCCCAGGAACCCAGGAGGGAAGGGGGTGTAGGTTGTCACCTAGACCCGCGCTACCCTTAGGCAAAATGCCGGAGGAGCCGGAGGGACCTAACGTGTTAGGATTTATGGCGGGTCCTGGACCCGGTAGGAGGAAGGTTAGATGGGTTCAAGGATGAACCCAGGAAGGAGGAAGATTAAAAGGAGTGAGAGAAAGAGAGAGGGAGGAATGGGAGGTTCAGCCTCTGGGGCCAGGGACGTGTCAATGCCGGGGCCGGGGGAATGTGATTAGGGTGAAGGTCTAAATAATCTACAAGCCTGACAAAAGGAAAAGGGGGCTTACCTAATGGATGAGCCGGTGGTGGGTGAAGGAAGCCAGAGCTGGAGAAAATGGACTAGGGTGGACTGTCAGTCCCGGGGGGGTCACGGAGGGGCCCGAGGAAGTCCGAGGAAGGAGTCCCCTGGCGCCGGGTGAACTCCTCCCGGGTTTCAGCACCAATGAAAGGGCAGACGGACCCGAGCTGATAAGGCGACAGGACCCGAGCTGACAGTTCACCAGAAAAGTTCCACTTTATTCAAGGACTGCGTGTACATTTATAGGGAGCTGCATTACGGGGTTGGATAGGGGGTGGACGGGGAGGTAGCTGATTGGACAGGGCTGGGCAGGAGGTGAGCCTTGACCTGTGACTGGCTGAGGTTTGGCGCGGGTGGGCTTGGGTTTTGGCACTGATGGGCTTGTTTACTGTGGAGAAGAACCAGGAAGGGTGCCATATTGCCAGGGTGTGTCCCTGTTCAGGTGCCCATGGGGTCCCTACACCTACATACGTTACCTCCCCTCCCCCACCCTGCCCCACTTTTAAGATTGTAACACTGGTTTTGGGTGATTTTATTTGATATGCCTTGCATACTTTTCTTTGTTTCTCGTATTCGGGGTTCATTGAGCTTCTTGACATGCCTTATAATTTTTAATCAGATTCTAGACATTTTAAGTATTACCTTGTTGGGGACTGATTTTTGTTTGCTTGTTTGTTTTTTATTTTGTTTTTTGAGGCTGGCTCTGCTGAGATCAAACGCTTGGTGTTTGATCAGGACCTTGGTGTTAGCAGCACGCTCTAACCAACTAACTGAGCTAACTGGCCAACCCTGAATATTTTTATGTTCTATATTCTTTAGCTGTAGCTAAATTACTTGGAAACCATTTGATCCTTTCAGGTCTTGCTTTAAAATTTGTTAGACAAGGCTGGCCCGGTGGTGCACTGCTACAGTGCGCCGCTTGGGAGTGCAGCGGCGCTCCCGCCGAGGGTTCGGATCCCACATACAGACCGGCTGCTCACTGGCTGAGTGAGGTGCGGGGGCAACACCGAGGTTTGCGATCCGTTGCCGGACACGAAAAAAGACAAAAAGGGGAAAAAAAAAATTTGTTAGACAAGACCCAGGAAGTTTTTAGTATGGGGCTAACTATTCCCAACTACTGAGGCAAGACCCATCTGAGTATACTACCCAATGCCATGTGAATTACAAATATTTTTCTGTCTGGCTGATGGGGCCAGGCAGTATAACCAGCCCTCTGTGGGTACTGGATACCATTCCCTCTCATCTTTTTGAGAGGTTCTTTTCCCTGCCTAAGAACCACACTGCTGATCAGTATCCTGTGAGTACCTGAGAGGGGGTCCTCTGCAGGTCTCTGGAGTTCTCTCTCAGTGCAGCTCTATAGTTGAGAGTCCTCTCTGCTATTCCTGACTCTCAGCTGCACTTCTCATCCTGGGGAGTGTGCTGGCTCTGCCTGGATGTCCCCTCCCTGCCATTCCCCTGGAAACTCTCTCGAGACAGTGAGCTGGGGCAACTGCAGGGCTCAGCTCACTCCCCCTACTTCTATCAGGGATCACTGTCCTTCATTACCTGATGTCCAGGGCCTTGAAAACCACTGTCCAGTTTTGCCCTTTTTTCAGATGGGACAGTAAAACTCTGCCCCTGTTACCCTATAATGGCCAGGAAAGAATGTTTAACTGGATCTATATTCATCTTTAAAATGAATCTCATTTCAGCCCAATTTATTACTTATGTGATGTATCAATTATATTCTGTAGATATTATATACTACCGCTCTATTAATGGAAGATGGATGAATCGTATTAAAATGTTTAAGATAAAGCATTTCAGTAATTTTTATTTTTTTATTTATTTTTATTTTTATTTTTTAATTTTTTTAAAGATGACCGGTAAGGGGATCTCAACCCTTGGCTTGGTGTTGTCAGCACCACGCTCAGCCAGTGAGCAAACCGGCCATCCCTATATAGGATCCAAACCCGTGGCCTTGGTGTTATCAGCACCGCACTCTACCGAGTGAGCCACGGGCCAGCCTGCATTTCAGTAATTTTTGAAAATACTTTTTCACTGTCAGTTAAAGGGAAGCTGTTATCACAAGTTTACTTTATCGAGAGTCAGGAAGTACTATGAGATCAGCAATAGATTTAAGAACGCTTGTTTTGAGTAGAAGAGTATATATATTAGGTATCTGGAAAACTTACTTGTCAGAATTGTCTGGCTGGACTAATTTGCTACATTGAGCTGCTTCATCATTTGATGTGATGTCAGATACTAATAGCACAATTAGCTTATCAGTAAGCAATGTTACTTTAGCATTTTTAATGTCCCTACTAGCTTTTGCTATTATGCTAGGAAATGCCATGATCATTTTAGCTTTTGTGGTGGATAAAAACCTTAGACATCGAAGTAATTATTTTTTTCTTAACTTGGCCATTTCTGACTTCTTTGTGGGTAAGTTCCATGTCTTTATTTAAAATAATCTTTTCCAATTATAGTTTATTTCTAAAACCATAAATAAGCTTTTTTTTTTCTTTCTTTTTTTAATTTCATGGGACTGGATGAGATTGGGGAGGATTAAAAACAAAAAGTTTAAGTATTAAACTTAGGGGGAGGGCTGGCTGGTTAACTCAGTTGGTTAGAGCGCAGACTTAAAACCAAGGTCACAGGTTTAGATCCCTGTACCGGCCAGCTGAAAAAAAAAAAAAAAAAAAAAAATGGGGGGAGATGGGCTATATGGCACTTTCAGGTAATATTATACATATGCAAATCAGCATTGTAGGGGAATTTTCATCTGAAAACAGTTTATTTTCTTTTCATAGACTAAAAATAAGTCCAGAGGGGCTGGCCCGTGGCTCACTGGGTGAGCGTGGTGCTGACCACACCAAGTCAAGGGTTAAGATCCCCTTACCTGTCATCTTGAAAAAAAAAAAAAAAGAATAAAAATAACTCCAGAATAGTTCTAAAATTATTTTAGTGTAAGAGTTATTTTTTCTGGGGCTATTTTCCTTGTATGTTTAGATTTATAGGTATAAATATTCTTCTTTAAGTATAGTTTCCCTATTATCACAGTGTCAAAGTAATAAGAAATAATGTCTATGATGGTAACCAGCACATCAGAAGATAGGATATTCAGATCAGTTAAATGGTCTGATTAACAGCAATTATTTTATGATATGGCATAGGATATTATAAAATACAGCCAAGACTAAGCTATCTTGCATATAATATGGTATCATAGCATTATATAATTGTAAGAGACCATAGAAATCAGATTAATCTTTCTTTGAAAACATGCACTTTGTAATTTTTCACTGCCTGATGGTTATCATTTTTAACAATGAATATCAAAATAAGTAGATGTGTAGAAATGTCAGCTGATGATATTGTTTTATAGGAGCTTCTAGTGAATTAATCCGGCGTATTCATATTATTTTTTACAGCTACATAAGGCTTACTTTTATGTTAAAATGAACAGAACTCATGAATACTTAGTTCATTGCCTGGAACACAGTGGTTGCTCAACAAAAGTTAGTCCCGTTTTCTTTCGATTTCTCTGCAAATACGTGTTAACCCAAACCAAGGTCACAAATGTTACTGTAGTACCTACCATGTGTGAGTACTGTTAAGTACACAAGTACTATTAGGTAGTCAGGGATCTAAGCAGAGTAGCTGCAGTAAGATCTCACCGTAGTAGAGTGGGTAAGAGAGGTTCTTAAATGGCTACAGCAGTGTCGGGTAAGGTGAGACCCCATGAAGACCTACCAAGTGCTATGGACGGTCGGAGCGGGGATGAAGCACGTTCAGTTAGTGGATAGTGGCATTCAAAATGAGCTTTGGAGGATGGACGGGTAGAATTTCCATAGGCAGAGATGGGGAGGAGAATCATGCTGGTGGGAAATCATTGTGCGTACCTTGCTAAGTGTGAGCTTGAGGCTGGCTGGTGGGCAGGTGGTTGCATGAAGCAATAGGTGATGAAGCTGGAATCTGTACAGTGAAGGCCTCTGAACACTTGTGTGAGTCTGGAGTGGAGTTTATTCGGCAGGAATCTGGGGTTTAAGGATATTAAGACAGGTGAGTGATTGGTAGGATCCAAGCTTTCCCTTAGAGGCATCAGAAGAGCTGTAGGAGGTGGGAGAAGCTGCAGCACGGGGCAGCATGGCTTCAGAGACAACCCTGCAGCAATCGGGAAGTAAGTCATGTGCTAGGGCTAGGGTGGACAGGAAGCCTAAGAGGCAGCGCTACAACGGGTGGGGTCGGGCAGGAGGAAGAGAAAGATGAGTTGTGAAGATTGGGCTTCTGCGACTAAGAAAAGGATGGCACTCAGTAGAAATAGGGAGCGTTTGGGGAGGGCAGCTATGGATCTGGCATGCATTGAAAGTTCTGGAGGAAACTTTTAGCTGGAGAGATTGATTTACGAGTCATGGCATAGAAATGACAGGGTCACAGATAAAGGCAGATAACCAATATAGAAGTATTAAAAAATGCAACAATCTTCCCATTTCTCCCTTCAGTTCTGTCCCTCCAGGTAACCAACAGGTGCAGCTCCGTGTAGATCCTTCCACATCATTCTTTATGCTCACGTGAACATGTACAAACACACAGGTGTATTTATGTGAACACAGAGAATATTCTATCAATAGACTTATCCCTCTCTCCCTCCTTTTCAGAACTATACGGCTTTTAGATGACACTCAGCACTTAAAATAGATGATGTATTTTGACTAACCCAAAGGGAGTGAGGCCCTGTCTACCATCGTGGTTGGGAGGAAACAGCTGAGAGTCTGGTGGTTCCAGATAAGACGGTTCCAGATAAGAACAAGCGTCTTGTGCCTGGCCCAAGGTCAGCGTCATGGCAACTCCACCATGAGGGGCTTGAGCACCACATCATAGAGATGTGGCTCATCTTTGAGAAACGGCCCCACAGCCCCAGCTGTCCTGGTGGTCTCCCTCCATCAGCAGGTGGGTGGGAAAGAATTGGCTTTGCTTCAGATGAGAGGAGGCGGGGACAGGCCGGAGTCTATTAATCAGCCAATCTCATCCTGCACATCTCCCCTGCGCCCTGCCAGCTTCATCCAGAGGTCTGCTTATCTAACACAATACTCACCATGACAGAAGAATTAGGACAGTCCCTGAGGGCTCTTTGTAAGAAGATTCGGCTCTGAGCCTGGAGGAATGTGTGGAGGGGGTAGTGGGGCAGGGCAGGGCTGGGCAGAACGTGTGGGAGGCTGTTCTGTAGCATAAGCCAGCAAGTCTTAATACCTGGGGTCGTGAGATGGAGAGCTCCAGAGCCGTGTGACATGACAGGCAGATTAGAGCCTCAATCATGCTCAGTGTCATGGGCTGCCTGGACCAACTCACTCTTTTTACAGATTTCAGAGCTGGCTTCCTGTGAGAATCTAAATTTGTGGCACCCAAGTAGCAAGCTTCCCAAACTGAATTTATTGAGGAAAAATTCCAGTACCAGCTATATTAGATGATATATAAATGAGATATAAAAATATGTCTCATCTGTATACTCCTCTGGGAAAAATATACTATCATACATATATCAATATCTATAAAAGTGGTATCGTGTGACCAATGTTTCCATCCCTGGGTACCTTCATTACATCTGCACGTTGAGTGGACATTTATGGCCTACATAACCATGTGATAGATGGCCTGGATGGTATCTTCAGGGGCCAAACGTGGTTGCTGCCAACAGAGCCCAGACCAAATTTTTAGGATGGCAAAGTTTATCTTTAACACCTCATGCCCCAGTTTGTGATTGTTTTCTTGCCCTCTGTAGTCTGCTCGGGCTGCCATAATAAAATGCCACAGATTTGGTGGCTTACATGACAGAAATTTGTTTTCTCACAGTTCTGGAGGCTGGAGACATCTCAGATCAAGGTTCTGGCTAATATGGTTCCTGGGGAGGTCTCTCTTCCTGGCTTACAGATGGCCGCCTTCTTGCTGTGTCCTCACATGGCCTTTCTCTGAGTGTGTGGAGAGAGCAAGCTCTCTGTCATCTCTTCTTGTAAGGACACTATTCCTATTGGATCAGGGCCCCACCCTTATGACCTCACTTACCCTTAATTTCTTCCTTCTCCAATACAGCCACATTGGGAGTTAGGGCTTCAATGTAAGAATTTAGGGGGACACAAACATCCAGTCCATAGCACCCTCTACACACCCACTGTCATCCGCACATCCCTCCGTTGGTCCAAAGGGTTCACTGGGGCTTCGAGCTACCCCCACCTTTTGATTGCCATTTTCTCATGGAAGGTGCAGCTTCTCAGCTGGCTAAGAAAGAAGGGCAATACCAGACCGGAGCTATTTTAAAGCAAACTGGGCTTCCCCATCCTCATCTATTTATTCATCCAACAATTATTTATCTTGAAGCAGGCATGCTTTGAGGTGCTGGAGATACAGCAGTGAAAACACAGATGGAAATCCCTGCCTATGGAGCTTCTGTTTCTACTGGGAACGGGGTGAGGGCATATATGGTAAACAATACAAATAAGTAAATAAAATCATATAGCATTTTAAGGGGTGATCATTGCGACTGAGAAAAACATAGCAGGGATGAGGCAGAGGGAGCATGCTGTGGGGTGGGGTTGCAATGTAAACTTGGGGAAAATGTGCCAAGCTATATGGTAAACAATACAAATAAGTAAATAAAATCATATAGCATTTTAAGGGGTGATCATTGTGACTGAGAAAAACATAGCAGGGATGAGGCAGAGGGAGCATGCTGTGGGGTGGGGTTGCAATGTAAACTTGGGGAAAATGTGCCAAGCGAGACACATCTTAGCAAACAGAAGGAGCTTTTCATACCAAGGAACAGCAAGTGCAAAGGACCTGAGGTGGGAGGTGGTCAGTGTATTTGAGGCAGGGGGCTAGAGTGGAGCGAGTGAGGGTGGAAGAGGGGTCGGAGGTGACACTGGGGAGGTGGGGGCATGCTGGTCTCACAGGGTCCTCCTCCTCCTTCTGTCCCCTGCTGCCCTGTTCCTTCACTCCCTTTTGTTCTTTACCACCTTCTTTTACTACAGTTTGTTTTCACTCGCTGTTCCCCCCCCCCCTTTTTTTTCTTAATCAGACTTGCCAAAGGCTTACTGCCCTTTTCAAGGAACAGGCTTAGTTTTGCTGATCAAGCCCATTAGACCCAGAAGCACAGTTCCAGAAGACAAGTTGTAGAAACAGGCATGAGCGTGTCAGAGAAATGCTTCAGGTTCACTTTTTTGAAACTCTTTTGGAATGAGCCATAGATCTCTCTATTACTCAACAAGACAAAGGAACTGAGATGACACTTGTACTAAAAGTCCTGTAGGACACAAGGCGACAGCAGGGTTTTATTAAAACCCAAGGAATAGACTACAGCCTGTGTTAAGCTAACTGCTATTTCAAGCAGCTCCTAAGATTTCGAATGCACCTGTCTTCTTTCATATAATTCAGGAAGTGCATGAAAACGAGTATTTAACTCACATCCCCCCTTAACCATTAAGTCGGTGGTGTCTATCATGAAGATGATTACTGACATCTCACTCTTTCTCATTCTGTAGAAGAAATGAGTGCGGATGTGGAAAATACTCATATTGGGAATACTGGAAGCCACAAATGTGAGCTAAAATACAATAAATGTCTCTGCTTTTGAGATACTTTGATTTACCTCATGTGAGTCTGGTGACTAATTTTATGTCACAGGTGCACAGGCACACACGCACACCCCCCCCCACACATGCACACACACACACGTACACACTCACACACGCACACGCACACACGTGCGCGCTCATGTGAGTCTGGTGACTAATTTTATGTCACAGGTGCACAGGCACACACGCACACCCCCCACACACATGCACACACACACACGCACACACTCACACACGCACACGCACACACGTGCGCGCACACACGCACACCCTTGATGGGATGAAAGGCATCATAAGGAAGCTTACTTATTAAAAATACAATTCAAACACAAAACAAACATGTTATTTGAACTACATAGAAGAACTGACCATGGGATTCTTCATCTCTGTGTCGTCTTGTCCCTCATTCCTGTATGTAAACCTACGTACAGAATACAGTTCTGTATTCCCTTTTGCCGGTTCTGAAACCATGTCATTATAGCCTCGTATTGTCCTGTTTTGGAAGAATGCAGGCTTTCCTTCTTCCTTTCCATTTCCTTTCTTTTATCTTTACTGTTGTTCTTAACAATAGGCTAATTTGGTTCTCGTACACAATATGGAAATTCCTGCAAGCACCTGATAAAATATGAAGATACTTAACAAAATAAGATTTCAACGGATCATATTCTCAGCAAGTAGTGATACCTGTTCGAAATGTCAATGCAATTACAAACCCCTGAAAGCTAAAGGAAAAGGAGGCCAGTTTAGTCATTTGTCACACATAAGCAGTTTCTGCACTGGGCTAAATCACTGTGGTAGAGCTTGTCTACTGGTTCATTCAGTGAAGAGTCGTGGTTCAAGTCGGGGTTTCTGAAACCCCATTGCCTGGTTTCAAATCCAACCTTCTCCACCTACTCATTGATTGGACCATAGTCTAATTATATTTCTTTTCTGAGCTTCAGGTTCTTTAAGTGTTAACTCACAAAGTTTCTATGAAGATTAAATGGGGTGATGTTTGTAATGCACATATCATAATGTCTGGCATATGGTAATTGTAGAATACATATGTGCACTGGTCAACTGTAGATGTTGTAGGAAATATAAACATTGATTTATGGCATG